GACCCCCAGCGAGATGGATTGGCAAAGTGGCAGCATCAATGGACTCAAGTGTGATAACAATTGTGAGGTTGGCCCAGGACCAAGCAATATTTCATTCTATTGTGCTATAAGTCACTATGAGTAGGTGCTGATTTGATGGCGCCTAACAACAAGTAGCGTAGTGGTTACGAATCGGGCTGCGAACCTTAAGGTCAGCAGTTCGAAAGTACCAGCTGCTCCGAGGGAGAAAGATGAGGCTTTCTACTCCCGTAAAGATTTACACCCTTGGAAACCCTGTACAGGGTCGCTATGGGTCGGACCCAACTCAATGGCACTTAACAACAACAACAACAAGGTATTGGCCTTGAGCTACTGTTGAGTTTGATTCTCCTTCCCCCTTGTGAAGTCAGAGGTCAAATGCCCCTCCACATTCTTCTTGGGGATGTGTGGGAGGGGAAAGAAGCATTTTTCTTGCAGTTGCCAAGTAACTGACTCATGGAGAATCACATATATCAGAATGGAATTGTGTTCACTGGCTGATGTTTTCAGCAGATCACCAGGTCTTTCTTCCAAGGCACTATAACCTTTTGGTTATGAGTCAAGCATATTAATCATGTTTAAATTCCAAACTAGCAAAGGGAAATATGTAACGATATAAAGTAAAGGGCATATAAAGTATATTTTTCGAAGTTTTCTCAAAATTCAGAGAAAAACTGTTTTGGGGAAAACTACCTCCAAAGTCAAATTTGTCCTTTAACCCAATAATTAAAGGGAAAGATAACCAACATTTCAGTCAAATTTTGAAGACACTTTTGCCACTTTTTAATACTTCCACTACAAATTCTAAGATAAAACAACTTTCAGTTCTCATCAACAGTTACAAATGCAACTTTAATGAGAAACTATACATACATCGCTGACTTTCTTCTGTATATTGCTGTAGAAAAGATCCAATTATTTCTCATGCTGCTAATAGTTCTCTAATTAGCATGCTGCTTATTTGCTAATATAAAACAGAAAACACTTGCCTTTTTATCTTCAGGGTTTAGTTGGTTCATTAACATAGTGACATTATCAGTATTCCAAACCCAAGAATTACTTGTGAAATATTCAAGAAGCACCATAGCTTTGTGAAGGCGAGTTATTGCTTTCATCATCCTGTATTATTAAGAAAAATTGACAGATTCATATTTTGCATAGATTAGAGAAAAATTCTACTACCACTCAAGGTATCAGTAACCACCAATATGAATATTAATGTTAAAATTCAGAAGTATTTAAAACCAGCAGGTATTATGAATATTTCTGTATCTTAGAGTAACATTTTATGAATCCAAAAAGAAAAACTGAAGTATCAGGAAATGAATTTAATATACTTTAAGTAGAGTTCTATTGATATATAAAATTAATTTGCAAAGAAAATTCAATACTTTACAAGGTCAAATTTTAAATAAGACATTAGGATAAATAAATGAAATTGATATTCCCTTGCTTTTTGTTTTTTAAATTACATTTTAGTTTAGCTGCATTTACTAAGATTTTTCTGTAAATTCATAGTACAGTGTGTAATCCCACCTTCAGCGGCACTGAAGCCAAGTATACAGAAATATTCTTTTACCATTTAGTCAACTTTATTTAAATAATAAATTTTTGTTTAGCACTGACTGGTGCCACTCTTGATCATCTGGATGTGTCATGATTTCAATGACTCATACTGAAACTTTCTGAAATAGACAATATTTCAGCTCCCCACAGACCCCCAATATCCATTCTTACAGAAATAAGGGAGCTCAGTAATATCTTGTTTGCTTCATTTAAAAGGGCAGGGACCTTAATCTTTCAATCTGTTAGTTTACACATCATGGCACACTGTAAGTCATTGATATCATAACACTGACCCAAGTAGTAACATCTACAATGAAATAATTACCTGTGAAAAGGAGAGGGAAGAAAGAAATTTTGAAATAAAGCACCCAAAAAGCCCCAGCTTTAGATAAAAAGAAAAACATTTTATGAGATATACTTAAAATAATTCTATTATTATTCCAACAATAAAAAGAGGTGTTATATGTTGTTTAGAAAGCCACAAAATTAAGGATGAACATCAGAAATGAGGGGACAATCAAAACAGTAACACAATTGATGACACATTCAATACATTTAGAAAAAAATCCCGAATAGAGAACACTGTGAGAAATATGAGGTAATACGGACTACTGTAAAGAAAAACTGTAGTTCGTGCAATAAAGTAATTCTAAAATAAAATCCCCATAAAACATGAAAAGAATTATCAAACACCGAAGACACTATTTGGATCTGAATATAGTTTACATAGAAAGAAGGTACTTGGGGGCATGGAACAGACATGCTACTTTTAGAAAGGAAGAAATTAGACAATTTGTCTGAAAACCAACAAAAGATTGAACAGATTTGTAACTAAATTAATATACAGTACTCTCAAATGGCACACACACACAAATATATCTGGTTAACAGTTTTCCAACGTCTGTCATGAAAGCTTTTTTCCTAATTATTTTTCACTCACCGTTCTCACCTAGTTAAGATGTATTTAAGTGACAGAATTACCCTTAAAACAATGACTGAATCAGTCATTTAAAAAAATAATTACAATAGGGGAAAAAAATTTTAGAAGCCCATATACGTGTATAAAAATTACAGACTTACAGGCAACAAAAGGACTGCACTGAATAATATTAAGAATGAAAAGAAACTTAAGTGCTGCACCATCACTCCTTTGCCAAGTATGCCATAAGAGCAGACCCTGTGATCACATTGCCATGTATATTCCAAGTATCTGCTGATTTCTTATTATGGCAATAACCAAAAAATGATGGCAATCCTTTGAAGTAGGGCAAGATCTGAAGGAACATGTAGTTCAGCGTTTCTCAACCTCAGCACTATAGACACTTTGGGCCAGATGATACTTTGTTGTGGGGGGCTGTTCTGTAACTATTAAGACGCTTGCTGGTAAGATGCTGGTCTCTTCTCATTAGATGCCAGCAGAACCCCTTCCTCAGTTTTAATAACTAAAAACATTACCAAATACTGCCAATGGTTTCCTGGGTGGCAGAAATGTCCCCAATTGATAACCAAAACCTACCCAACTGCCATCAAGTCGATTCTGACTCATAGCAACCTTGTAAGGACCAAGCAGAACCGTTTCATAGGGTTTTTAATGCTGTAAATCTTTACTGAAGCAGACAGCCACATCATTCTCCCACAGAGCAGCTGGTGGGTTTGAACCACCAACCTTTTGATTAGTAATTGAATGCTTTAACCACTACACCACCAGGGCTCCTATTTGAGCACTACAGATGAGAAAAATACCAGGTTCAGAGACATTGAGCTGAACAGAGTCATGCTAATAACCACAGAACATGGCCAAAGAGCTATTTTTTTGAGATGTGTTTATAACAGTGATAAAATGTCTACTGTATTTCAAGGGCTAAAATGAGTAATTTACCTTGATTCTACATGTAACAATATCATGCATTCTACTCTACATTAAGTATTAACCAGGAATCCATATGATGTGTGTCTGAGCTGTACTTAGATATACAGTTTATCAAGCTGCCACTCAGAAACTTTTAAGAGTAAAGTGACACCATGAATGACATGCTTGATATTAATTTAACATAAAAGTAGGTACTGTATTACGAATCTTTAGTCACTGAAAACCTTATGAATAGCAGAGAAACATTGTCAGATACAGTGCCGGAAAATGAGCCCCTCAGGTTGGAACGCACTCAAAATGTGACTGGGGAAGAGATGCCTCCTCAAAGTAGAGCTGACCATGATGACGTGAATAGAGCTAAGCAAGTGGGAGAAAAGCCCACACAACCTTCATTTGCTGATGGGGCACAACTCAAAATCAAGAGAAACAGGTGTAAACATCCATTGAAAATCGGAACATGGAATGAACGAAGTATGAATCTGGGTAAATTGGAAGTTGTCAAAAATGAAATGGAACGCATCAACATCGATATCTTAGGTATTAGTGAGCTGAAATGGACTGGTATTGGCCATTTTGAATCTGACAACCACATGGTTTACTATGCAGGGAATGACAAAAAGAACATATCCAGATCAGTCAGGAGGTACAACACTGTCTGTGATAGTATAATATCCATGCCCCTACAGGGAAGCCCAGTTAATACCACTGTTATTCAAATTTATGCATCAACCACTAAAGCCAGTAAGGATGAAATAGCAGAATTCTACCAACTTCTCAATCTGAAATTGATCAAACATGCAATCAAGATGTATTGCTCATTACTGGTGACTGGAATGCAAAGGTTGGGGCCAAAGACAAAGGATTAGTAGTTGGATAATATGGCCTTGGTGATAGAAATGATGCTAGAGAATGCATGATAGAATTCTGCAAAACCAATGATTTTTTCATTTCAAATACCTTCTTTAGACAGCATACGAGATGACTATACACATGGAGCTCACCAGATGGAACACATAGAAATCAAATTGATTACATCTGTGGAATGAGACGATGGAAAAGCTCCATATCATCAGTGAAAACAAGGCCAGGGGCAGACTGTGGAACAGACCATCAATTACTCATATGCAAATTCAAACTGAAAATGAAAACAAGTCCACGAGAGTCACAATATGATCTCGAATACATCCCACCTGAATTTAGAGATCATCTGAAGAACAGACTTGATACAGTAAACACTAAAGACCGAAGACCAGAAGAGTTGTGGGATGACATCAAGAACATCATACGTGAAGGGAGGAAAAAGTCACTAAGAAGACAAGAAAGAAGGAAAAGGTCAAAATGGATGTCAGAAGAGACTCTGAAACTTGTTCTCCAGCGTAGAGATGCTAAAGCAATGGAAGAAATGAGGAGGTCCAAGAACTGAGCAGGAAACTTCAAAGATCAGCTCGAAAAGATAAAGCCAAATATTATAATAAAATGTGCAAAGATCTGTAATCAGAAAACCAAAAAGGAAGAATATGGTCAGCATTTCTCAAGCTGGGGGAACTGAAGAAAAAATTCAAGCCTTGACTTTCATTATGGAAAGATTCTCTGGGCAAATTATTGAATGATGCAGAAAGCATCAAGAAAAGATGGAAGGAATACCCAGAGTCACTGTACCAAAAGGAAATGGTTAATGTTCAACCGTTTCAAGAGGTAGCATATGATCAAGAGCTAATGATACTTAGAGAGGAAGTCCAAGGTGCATTGAAGGAATTGGCAAAGAACAAGGCACCAGGAATTGATGCAATCAAAATTGATAGCTTTTAAGAAAGTTAGACGGCACAGGAGGCACTCATTCATCTCTGCCAAGAAATTTGGAAGACAACTATCTGGCTAACTGATTGAAAGAGATCCATATTTGTGCCCATTCCAAAGAGAGGTGATCCAATGGAACGCGGAAATCATCGGACAATCTCTTCAATATCTCAAGCGAGTAAAGTTTTGCTAAAGGTAATACAGAAACAGCTACAATCATACACTGACAAAGAACTTCCAGAGGTTTAAGCTGGATTCAGAAGAGGACGTGGAACGAGCGATATCATTGCTGATGTCCGATGGATCTTGGCTGAAAGCAGAGAATATCAGAAAGATGTTTACCTATGCTTTATAGACTACGCAAAGGATCATGACAAGCTATGGACAACATTGAGAAGTATGAGTATTCAAGAACACTTAATTGTACTCATGAGGAATCTGTACCTGGTCTAAGAAGCAGTTGTTCGAACAGCGCATGAGAACACTGAACATTTTAAATTTAAGAAAGGTGTGCAACAAGGTTGTGTTCTTTCACCATACTTACTCAACCTGTATGCTGAGCAAATAATATGAGAAGCTGGGTTCTATGAAGAAAAACGTGGCATCAGGCTTGGAGGAAGACTCATTAACCACCTGCGATATGCAGATGACACAACCTTGCTTGCTGAAAGTGAAGAGGACTTAAAACATTTACTGATGAAGATCAAAGAGCACAGACTTCGATATGGATTACATCTCAATGTCAAGAATACAAAAGTCCTCACCACTGGACCAATAAACAGCAATCTTATCAATGGAGAAAAGATTGAAGTTGTCACAGACTTCATTCTTCTTTGATCAACTATCAACATTCATGGAAGCAGCAGTTAAAAGATCAGACGACGTA